TATATATATAATATCTAAACAAAATCATGAAAGAATTTACTGTAATTTTTTATATATAGTGTTTTAAGAGAATCATGAAAAGAGAGGAAAGATGATAAAATCATGCAAAAATGGTTGATTAGTAAACATTATTTGCTTATAGATATTATAACATTACTCTTTTATGATTTTTATTTTTATTTTTTATAACCGTGCAAAGCGCGGGCAAATATATATATATATATATATAATTGAAGGCCATTAGCCCAGTGACTTGGCAATCTTAGCGAGCAGGATTTGCATTTTATCTTTTCCTACATTTTTTCTCATTTTTTCCTTGACTTCAACCGTGAAAAAAATAAGTGATGACATATTGACACCGTTTGAGAAACACCACCGTCTCTTTCTACGGTTGTTTAGTCCCTAAATTGATAATGGAAAAGCCCACCATGGAGAGACATCAATATACCTGTTGATTCTTTCTTCTCTCTTCCATGAGAAAAGGTTATTTTCTCATCTTTTATCATGAAATTTTCATGTATTCCTAACTTCTAATTTTGATAAACTTCGCACTGTGCCCTTCCGTGTATTTGCTTTATAATTCATCAAGAGTTGATCCAACTGTCGAAAATCCATTTATGATACTATCAAAATTGCAGCACCGGTAATCTGAATTTGGGATTCATTTCATACACTGAAGTTAGTAACTTTCTTCTTTTTACCAAAAAAAAAAAAAAACTCTTCGATCGAAAACTAAAAGGTGCATTTCTCTTGAAACTTCTGATCCAAAATTTCTTCTTCAAATATGATATTGTTCACTTTTTATTTTTATTATGTTGCTTCACCGTTGTTGAACTTATTGGTTTACTCTTTTCTCTGCTAATCTCTCTATTCTTTGAATGAACACTAAGACTCACAGCGCAAAGGCAAAATGAGGGAAGAAATACACTATTTAGCCTCTTTATTTAATCTCTCTATACTTTTCTCATATGCATTTTCATTTCATGTGTTCTAATTACTTAATTCTGGGGGGAAAACGAACAGGATATGCTTATTTTGGTGCCCATAATGTGTTCGACACAATGACCACACAGAAAAATTGCCCACTGCTTCTGTAAATGATGCTAACAAGTACCCAGTTATTTAATTAACAGTGGTGGGTCAGTAACTCTTTCAAAAGAAATCTTTAGCATCTATGCCTTTTTTGCTTATATTACCCTCATTTTATTTGATAAAAAAGGATTTAGTAAAAAGAAAAAAAAATTACGATAAACTAACGAAACCAAAACAAAAAAAAAAAAAGAGCAAATCTTAAAAGACCATGTTAACAAGTGAATGTTTGCGGCATGTAAAATTTACACCCTTTCAATTTAACAAGTGAATGTTTTTGCTGAATATATATATTTTAAATGGGTATGCTTATGGAACAAAAGATCATGAATAATTGGGGATGAGGGCCGAGAATAATTTAGACTCTTTATCAATTGCATCTTCCTGTTTTCCATCTATGGTTGAAGTAACTTCCCTATAAATTAAGTGTTAAAAGTACATTCTTTATCATTGTTTGCTATTTATCTATGTAGGTGCTATCTATTTTTTCGTTTTACAATCAATAATATGAGAAATTGATTACGCTAGTTATATTTTGTGGTGTTGTGAATGTTCCTTAATGCTTGACGAAAAAGAATAATCATAATGTCGCAGCTTTTTAGTACGACTATACTATTGACACTTGCCAAAAATGAATACCCATATAGATGGATTTTTGACAGATTAAAGAAGTCCTCACATGGTGAAAGAAGCTCATGATAAGAATATCAAAAATTGCGGGATCTATTATCATATGACAATGCCTTAGAAAGCAGCATTGTTGTTGCAACAACACCTCAACTGTAGAGAGGCAACAGAAAATCATCTTCTTGCAAACACAAATCATGTCAACTCCATCTCAAATGCAGGGTAATCTTGCTATTACACCTTCCTTCTACTTCAGAAATATGTTAGAATATCGAATCTTCTATTTATTTCTTTCCTCATACATCATATATATGAATATAACAATGGTTATGCATGAAAACAATGGTATCCGTCCAACTTGCATGCTCTATCATAGGGGTGTACAAAGAAAACCGACAAACCGCACCAACCCGATAATCCGAGTCAAACCGGAAAAAAAATCCGACTATGGTTTGGTTTGATTTGGTTTGGTGTTGGAAAAAAAACCCGACCATAATTGATTTGGTTTGGTTTTAACTAAAGAAAGTCAAACCGAAACTAAACCAACCCAACATTACATATATAAAAATTTTAGATTTATTTAATATATAAATATACTTATTGTGATGCAATTTATAAATATTTCTTAAAAATTTTCATAATTTTATCTTTTAAGGTCTTATTCAAGGTTGGACTTAGAACTTTTGAATGCTCCAATAAGTTTTATATCCATTAATATTAGTAAATTAAATAATTCTAACAAAAGCCCAAACCAAAATCAAATCAATACTAATACTAAGAAAAGACATTCAATTCAATATTACGAACGGGAATGTATTAAATATCTATTTTTTATTTTGCAATAATTTACATAAAAATGCATAACCTATTTTATTTTTCTTTAGCGTTTAGTCAATTTAGTATTTGGCTTTGTTAATTATTAACTACTTATTATTTTTCTTACATTTTTAGATTATACAGCTCAGATTTGTTCTTTAAATAACTTGGCGTCATTTATATGATTTTTTAGTAACTATAGCAGCTAACCTGCATTTAATTTCTTTATGATGAAAGATTATACTATGGAAGTCATCTGATATGTATCGAGATAATGCCAGCCTATTCTCTTCTACAATAGTTTTAAAGCCACCAGCAGATTGCCACAACTTAGCTTAATGTCTTAGTTGTGAATCAGATATCAGACATACTTTTTGTTAATGATAGCGAGGATGTATATGAAACGACATATGATTTTGGAGACAATATGGAGGATTACCGTGTTACCAGTAACTTATTAGGTAAAGATATTATGTGGTAATATACCGATGATATAATATCTTTAACTCATTTAAATTTACTTTCATTGTTCTCCTGTCTTATTTATGTGTCGAGGCATGTACCTATTGTTTTATATATGTAGACCATTTTATGTGCGTAGCTGATTTGGATATTTATAGTGGTAATATAAAGAATGACTCTGTATAGTTTATATAAAATCATATACTGTGAGAAATTTAGTTGAGTGAAGAAAAAGGAAAAAACGTACACGTAAATTTTCTTTTAATCAAATTCTTGGTGTGGCATTGAACACCATGATATTGAATGGGGCTTTGGCTACTAGATCCCAAGAAGAAGAAGAAAAATTAACTAGAGTTGTGGCTGAGAAGTTATTTATATATACGTCAAAAATGGTCTTTTATTTTTGATATTCATCGATAATTTACAGCACGATAGATATTGCTACAATGTAAAATATATTAAATTGCCTAAAGGAAAATATATTTACCTTTTTTAACTTCATATGTTGTTTTATTTTGTTCTTAAAATCCCTTGTTTAGTTAAACTATATTGATTTATTTTGGAAGTGTGTTTATGATAAGAATTGCATATTTCTTAATACCTAACCTTTTAGTTCTCATTTTTTATGAGCAGATTCCTAGATATTGCTCAGAATGCATTGGCCATTAATTTTATTTTATTTTCCTTTCCCTTGTCCACCTTTTCCTTTTTCTCTAGGAGTTCCTTGTGTGGATGATCTTTTATCAAAGTTGGATTCTCTTTTTCATGCAGGTGGTTGGAACATTGTCCTTATTGCTTGCTCAATCTCCCAAGCTACACAAATACTGGTCTTACACTTGCTCACCGTGTTTATTGTAGTTGGTAAATATCTTAATTATGATATTTACTTGCTTTTGTTTGCCCTCTAACATACTATTGATATGCCTATCACCTTTATTGAGTTCAAAATTGAGTAGTGTGCAGTTAATAGTAGTAATCACAATAAAACAGTCATATATTCTTCGACGGAGATATAATTTCTAAATTTTACTGTTGTAAATACATAAAAAGTTATGGTGACCATGAGTTTTTTCATTTTTTTTATATTTTGTTGTTTATATGTGTATCATTTTCTCATTTTATGACTTATGATCTTTAACTATGTTTCTCTTCATAGTTTGAGCGTATAATCATAGTTACTTCATCGTAGATGATCTCTTCGTCAAATTACTTAGGTTTTTCTTTCAAGCGTTCTTCTTTTCTAATCTTCAGCTTAGGCTTTGTTTGTAGAGTGAAGAAATATATGTACTTTCTGGCAATTAGGGGAATTGCATTTGCTTCGCTTCATCGGAACGACATATAATTTCATAAATTCTACTTACAGTCTTTAGAGTCAGAGGCGGATCCAGGATGTTTGAAGGATGGATTCATTATTACTTTTTTAAAAAAAAATTAAACCAAAAAGTTGGTAAGGGATTTGATCCCCTGACCTTAGGCTATTAGAAATAAGAGACCAAAACCAGTGCACCACTTAGTCTCTTTTGATCATGGGTTCCATCAAGTATATATATCTATATTTTTCAAATTATGTACATCATATCCATACTTTAACTCGAGGACCACGGGTTCACGTGAACCATGTTTCACATGGTAGATCCGCCTCTGTTTAGAGTTATAATTTGCTTTCAATTTGATCAAGTAAAATTTATTCCCTTTGGTTGATTAAAATTTTATAATCTTTATTCAAAAAAATTATATTTTATACTGGAAAAATATTATAAGGTGTAATTACCCTATAAGAGAATAGACTCCCAGACATACACATGTGAAAATTTTACCTTTTTAAGTACTGATTTATTTCTCCTCTGTCCTATTTAAAGTCCTTTTTGTAAGAAGTTTTTTTCTCCCTCTCTGATGCTTGCATTGTAATTTATGTTTATGTTCAGAATCTCACTATTCCTTATATTTGTGTTACTTAAATATTTAATCAAAAAAATAAATTCTCATAGCATATATTATTAGCTTCTTTAATATTTTAATTCCTGAGTTTCCACTACTAAGGTTTTCCTCCTCCAATTTCTTCGCCCTCTCTTTAGTGATTTTGTCGGTTCATTACTTTAGTATTTTTCTGTTGTCTTTGAATTTCTTTTTAGGATGGTGGACAACGGGATCGATCTCTCATTCGTGATACTTATCCGTTCAAAGTGTGAGGAAGATCGATGGAGTTGAATGCGACCACTCTAAGAAAAGATTTAGTACTTTAATTTGTCCGTGATTGTTTTGAGTATTATTTAGCTTATGCAAACTCCTTTCGCTCTCCGTTGTATCTGTGTTGATTCGCGACTTTTGCCTTTGCATTATTCTTCTTATAATATAGCTAATGACCCGAAGATTTAGAAATTGCCTTTCCTCTATTCTGATCCATCTCCTACTAATAAATTTTCTTGGCGTTAAGTGTTTATCATTCGGAAAATCTACTCAAACCCCGTGTTAGAAAAATGGTATAAGCATAGCTTTGTATAGTTGTCATGTAAAATACCTCATTTGGCCATGTAAAGATACAGTGGACAACTGCGAATAAGGTTGGATGTTAACCTCAATAAATAGTCATACTACAAAAATAAAAAGAAAGGAAAATACGAAAAAACGTCCTTAGCTTGTGAAATTTTTTGCTTTTAGAAATCAATAAAAGATTAAGGAGACCAACAATAATACATGTATGATATGGGAAAGCATGGAAGAAATAGAAAGAGAAATGAAAGAGGAGAAAGTTAAAAACTAACAAAGGATAACATCGACATTATAGACAATAGTTGTACTGTTAGGAGAAAAAGAATATTTATTTTTTATGCTCTCTTTTATGAATGCTTCAAAAGGAATACTGTTGTTATTTAATACATATGTTTGACATCTCTTATAAATTGACTAAAATTTTAATCGCGCGAAGAGCGGTAAATTCACTAGTATAAATATAATTATGGGAATAGACAAGGTGATTTGGCACCTCTATTTGACCAAGGATCCTATTTATCGTTTTTCTCCTTTTTTTGCCTTTTCCTAATTATAAAATGTCAAAAAGTATATCTAATTCATTTCTTTTCCACTTCCCATATTAAAGTCTTTACAAGAAGTAATTACTTATTAGTTATTGTGCATTATAGTGAAGAACTGTTATTTCTTCAACTATTTTAAATCATATTAGAAAATTTACGTTACACGTTATCACGTCTAAAAACGTTTCATAGTCTGCTCTTCTTCTTTGTAAATGCATCCTTCCTGAATTCCATATATTCCCATCTTTTGGGTTCCTCTTCTGCGTGCAATTGTATTTTCCTTTTGTTTAACATTTCTTTGTCCTTGAAACTATTCTTTTTTAACCGGTGAAGATACCCAATGGAGCAGAACAAATTAAATAAGAAAGCTTTGAGAAAGAGAATGAGGACTTGTATGTTCTGGACAAAGATGTTTGATCAGAGTAATTTAGTTGGTAAATCAGATGTATGTTTAGTTGCTAATTAACTGCTCTTCTCCTTCTTGTCCTACAACGACTTCTCAGCCTTTTTTTCCTCAAATGGAAAGAAAAAGCGTGTTTCTGCTTTTATGTATATCCCTTTTGTTATTGACCAACAAGTAAAATTACAGGGATGAACTTTTAAACTTCTTTGAATTTTGCATTAATGTTATTATATAGTATGACTTTTCTCTTTCTTGGTATCCAGATCCCAAGCCAAAGGAGATTCTTTTTGCCTTATTTGTTTATTGAATCTAGTATCAAATAGTTGTTGTCTATCATTCTTTAATTTCTTAGGATGTAGCAGTACTTTATTTTTAATATCGTGGATGGAGTACTTTGGATTCTTTATTTTTGTCATATGCCTCCACTGTTCCTAGCTTTATTAAAAATTTGTCCCCTTTTTCCCCAATAATTTTTAATAGTGTAACACACAATTTTGTTGATATTTTGAACGTGAATGAGTAACACATGACAACGCCTGATATGTAATTAATGAGAATATTTTCAAGTGATTACTTGTAAAAATTATCAATATTGTGTGATTTATCACGAAATACATGTTATCTTCATACATATAAATTTTTATACAAACATTTCAGGAGTATTGATTAGATACTAGAGGAAAAAAGTAAAATTTTGAGGATTTTGCAAACGTTTTGGACAAAAAATGGGGGTTGTTTCACTAGGGAAGAAGGAGAGAGAAAGAATTGGATTATATATCTCCTTCTAAAAGAATTCCCCTCTCAATTTGAATGGACTGATCGGGTGCATGTTGCTAGAAGTTATTTAGAGTAACAAGCGCATTTTTAAGCTTTTACGGAAAATAAAGAGTATTTCATGGAATAACAAAGCAGAAATTATAGAATATTATATGAACATGATCGTTTAATTCCAAGAATAAGAAGGTAAAAAACTATAAATTTTGGTACTCTAGAGGAATTAAAATAAACCAAAGATAATTTTTTTTTTAAAAAAATAACATTCTACTATATATAATAATACCTTTATGTATCAGTTCTTTATAGTG